GATCGAATGAAGTAATATCTAGTGAATTCCAAGAAGGGGCTCGACTAAGTGCAACATACGCCTGCCCATATGCAAACATCTGCTCATCTATAGTAACTGAAATATTAGATATTGTTAATCCTTGTGTTTCATGTACAGTGAGAGCAAAGGCATTCTGGAGAGAAAACTGATGTCGACTCGCTAGTAAGCCATTTAAAAGAAACGTTTGGTTATTCTTTTTATGGATACAGTGATTATTCTTAGTGGTGCTGGAAATACGGCATTGACTGTGTCTTCATCGATTAATTCGATGATGATTTCAATAGATCCATTATAAAGACCATGCTCAAATAAATCATTATCAAGATACATGACACGTGCACCTTTTTGCAAAATTAAGGTTGCAGGTAAATTCGTAAGTTGATGAAATTACGATTATTATCTACTGCATCCCATTCTTGACCATTAATACAGTTAATAGCAGTTGAGATAATGGGTTCAGGATCATCTGGTTCTCAAGGTAGGGTGAGGCATGCCAACTTATTTATATTATTGGCCATGGCATGGAATCCAACTAAGTGGGTGATGTCAATAGGGGTGCGTAATGATGGTGATTTTATTTTATCGTCAATTGTTTGTAACGTATTAGTTGATATGGTTCCATTACGAATTTCATTTAACACTCTGTAAAACATCATATCATCATTTTGTCTGCGAGGAGTGGTTAAAAATATAGGAAAAAATTCCGACCAAATGGGTGATCGAAATACCTGCGCACCACTTACAGGAGGCAGTTGTACAAGGTCACCGATTAGTAAAACCTTGATTCTACCAAACGGCAAAGTATTATTGTGCAGACGAGCAAAGAGATTACTAATGAATGTCAATAAGCTAGCAGATACCATGGATATTTCATCGATTATAATAGTTTCAGTTTCAAGAAGAAGTTGACGACATTCCTGATCATTTAGGGCTAAACTTACATGATTACCAGCAGATGGTCGTATTTTAAGTTGAAAATGAATCATTTTACCATCGATATTCTGAGCAGCCACACCTGTTGGTGCCATCAACAAATACTTTTTACGATGTGATTTGAGGTGATTTATAATCAAAGTTATTAGATACGATTTT